ATCAATACAGATATGAAGAAAGCTGCTCTAGTGATCTAATTTTATTTTCTGCTATGTGTTCATTTCAAAGTAACTGCAGCCATAAGAGATTGCAGTGTGGATGGTAAAGTAAGATGAACTGCAAATGTTCAGAGCACTATCCCTTTGCTTCAGATCAAGGAGCGCTGAACAGAAAAACATGACAGTGAAACAAAAATAACACCAGTTAAACAAAATCAATTAATTTGGGATCTTTGCCTTGCATCATGCTTACAGCATCAAGCATTTTTCATTCATTATCTATTTCTTCTACTGTTACATGTATCAGCATGTTTTGCCCTAGGAGTACAATGAGTACCAAAACCCCTGAACTTCAATAAAGCATTTAACAGGTATATAACAAAACATATATACCTCTGTACTTTCTCCTCAAGCATCCATCAGACAGCTAAAAACTTACTCTCATTATTCATTTTGAAAAAAAATAATTCCTCTCTTCTATTAAAGACAAGATAGGGAATGTCTTGATACATAAAAATATTATTGTATTTTAAAAAGCATTCAGATTTAAACTCCTTAGGATAAAGGAATATCAGAGGACACACCAGAAGAGATAAACACAGGCAGCTCTCATCTCCCTGAAGGCAGAATGAGCCTCATTAAGCTTTCTGCTTTGCAAAAGATCTTTGACCCAAGCAAACGGCCACTGGAATAGTGGTAGAAAAGACAACCACATTTATTTTCTCACTGCACCCATTTATCTTACTTGTTTCCTTAACACAGAAAAATTAGAAGCACCTACCTCGTCAGACTTGAAGAAAGCCCCACATCCTTGGGGAGTGTGTTAGTTACACATAGCAAGATAATGTTCTGTCTAAAATGAAAGAATTCCCCATAGCCTTTAGCATGTAGAGGTTCTTTTAGCTCTGGGAGAGGATGTGCAAACATCCACTGAGGGTATTACCAAAGGCTAATTCCTAATTCTCTTGAGTAAGCCTGCTTGCTGCTATGGACTACTACAGGCTTTATTCCTATTAGAGACTTACCGGTTGCCAAAGGTGACAGTGCTGTGTCACAGATAATCATGAAAGTGATATGGTAAAGGGTTTCTGAAAGTTTAACTTTGATTAAAAGGACCAATTTCTAAGTCTGTAGCTGTTTAAGCCTGAGAACCAAGCAGGTATTTATGTTTCACTTTTCCAGTGTTAGCTGATGGGCAATAAGGTCATGTACCCCTTCCACTCACAAGCCAAACTACCACTGGAATAATCAATGAGAGCAGATGGGAGCAGGCTGATACCAGCCTGCAGATGGCAGCAATTAGGAGAAGGTCAAGCCATGTCAGAAAAAGCAGTACTTGTATTCAGTGTTCAATTTTGGGTGTAGGCCATCTAATCTTTTCTAACCACGTAACTGAAGAGCCAAGGCTGGTTACCAAACACGGGAACAGTGCACCACAACTTGTGTTTCTGTAAGAGAAATTCTGTATTCTATGTAAATTTTGTCAAAAACCTAAATGAGGCCGTTTTGGTATAGGCTGATTTCTCCCACGGTGAAGTATGTTTAAACAAACTATTTTGTGACATTTAGCTTAGGTAACACAAAGCAATCTTGGCAGGACAGAGTACCAGATAAGAAGCTGTCTTGCAAATTAACCTTCCATTTTGTTTTTATTTGTAAGAAAAAAAGATTACTCTAATGGGCAGGTGAGTTTCCAAAGAGGTGACAAGAGAGCCAGAGAAGTTCTCAAAGTCTATCAGTAGCCACTGAGTTCTTATCTAAAATGCACAGAATACCCTTGTATGACTGAAATGACTCTGTGGCCTGCTACTTTTGAAACAATGCTTTAGTTTCCACAACTAGCAAACCATTTAAAATTAATCCACTTAGTAATTATATTATTTATCTTTCACTAAACTACCTTCAGAGTCCTATTTTCTGCACAGTAGTACATGTCATAAAAGACAGCATTATACAGATTTGTACACCGTTCTAATTATAACCGGCTTCAGGAGTTTTGTGTGTCCTAAAACCAACTAGAAAGGTCATAATCAATGCAACCAAACCCAAACCTTTAATTATTCTTTACACTTTCTGCATCCTGGATGGTTCCAACCTGGTTTCAGAGGCCTTTAAAGTGAGCCTCTGAAAATGAGAGCTAACATACTGTGTCCCTGGTTTCTCCCAGTCCGATGGCACACCCCGAGCCCGTCTCTCCCGCACTCTGCCGGGTGTGCAGCCACGCTCCCGCACAGCATTCCCGGCAGGAGGCTCCGGCAGATGGCGCGAGCCAGCCGCCTGCCAGCCAGGAAAGGCGGATCTGCACACCAGGCAGGTTTTCTTATCACCCATCAGGTTTTCTTCTCACCATCACAGCTTGCCAGCGGTGTGAATTCCCTGCTTAAGTATTTACCAGTCCCAGATGTCGCTAAACTGCAAAAACATCGATCTAGCTTCATCCCAAAGGAAGGTAAAGTGACCAAGAAACAGGTCAGAACACATCTGGTTTGCACCCCAGAACAAGACTTTAGGACATGAGGATTATGGGAGAGAGAAGAGGATCAATAACCCGAATTTCCAGAGGATCCTGAACTTTTTATTGCAGAATGAAACCAAGCTTCCAACAGCGAAGAGGAAGCAACACATTCTCTGAAAGTTTCAGCTTCTTGGCTGCATCCTCAGGTACAGTGATCCTTTTCTTAGGATGCTGGATTAACAGTGCAGTATGTGCCAAATGCAATCGTGAGTTCTAATCTGCTTTTCCTCAGTCTTTAATAAAGGTCACAAACTGAAAAAAATTCTTGCTTGAACACTGGCCTTTAAAGTGAGCCTCTGAAAATGGGAGCTAACATACTGTGTCCCTCTACCTAGCTAAAGCTGAGACTGTGCAACAGGTTCAGCCAGACAGTATGACCCCAAAAGACATAATTTCATCTCCCTATACAGAACTCACTATAGCCCTGCTCTTCATACTACTTAATTTTACTTCCCTTTTAGATCTGTTGGGCCATGCATGCAGATAGTGATTGCCCAAGAGCAATTGTGAAGCCACAAGCAAGATGTGGCTAACAGACTACACATTACTTGCCTCAAAAACTCTTATGGCTGAAGGGAGATTCTAACTTGTCCGTTTATTTTTCACAGAAGCAGACTATGAAACAGATTCTTGGGGATAGGTTTCCAAATTAATTTTCAGGTAATGTAATGTTTTGAGAATTTTAATACAATCAAAATTCTGCCAGCTAGTGAGGTGGTAAATGCTGTACTCACTGAAATGAGAGTAATGTAATTACAATCAGTTGAGACAGTTTGTGGATACTGATCTATTTGATCTACATGCACTTAGACTGTCAGCAACGCAAAAGCAGTTGATGTAGCAAAACCTAGACAATATATTAATAAAACAGATAAAAATTATTAAGAAAAAGCTGCAAATAAATGCTTTTCTCTTGTAAAGGATCTTCCTAAGGGACAGTTTCCACTTGCCTATCCTTTTATGCTGCCAACATGGTACAGAGGGAGAACATATAAAAGGAAACTGATCTCACAGTCACTTTCAGTGATGCCTTTGTTGGAAATGGGGTGGGCCAAGGATTTTGAGATATCCTGAGGGATGTGGGGGGCTTGGGCAATAATTGATGCCTTTTTCATAAGCACTGAGTCAATTTCTTAACATTAAACTTAAATAGGGTGGGCCTCTCCTGTGGTGAGGCAGCTTGGCCACCTCATGGCTGACACAGGAAACAGGGACACAGGCAATGGATTGTTTGCTCCTTTTCCTCCCTATAAGATCCCTTCCAGCCACCATGTGTAGCACTGCTGCACGACAGCTTTCCCTGCCACCCTGAGCACAGCCCAGTGACACAAGTTAGCCATGAATAGAATATACGATGTGATGCTTGTCCTCATTTCCTCTAGTAACTCATGATTAAGCTCAAAAGTAGTAGTGTAAACCAGAGAGGAAAAAATACACATTTATTAGCTTTCAAATCTCTGCAGTGTCTCTCTTTTAGGAACTCCAGAGGTCTCAATCTATGTTAGGAATTAATTGAAGCCATGAGGAAAGATTCTCACCCATTTACCCAAAGAAAAGGCGCATGAGAAGAATGAAGTCAAGTAATGCACAATACATTGGTGGTTTCTGAGCATCCCAGTGACAGTTCAGTTACCAGAGGTATGCTGGGGACACAGTGTTGTTATCTATGTCACAAATGAGATATTCTCTATGAACTGTAAATCTCCCTAGCCACGGAAGCTGTCAAGAATCATAGTAGCAGAAAAGGATAACTTAGGTCATCGAAGAAGAAGAAAGGTGAGGCAAGCGCAATGTTATGGCAGAACTCTGTACATCTTAACATGCCTTTTGCAGCTGCAGTGTGCATGGAGCCCAGGGCTTAGTGGTTTTCAAAACCATAACCCTAGGTGTAACCATAACACTAACCATAGCCATAGGCAGGAAAAGCAGAATAGGGCTAGGGTTGGTTCCAGGAAAAAGCTGTGGAGGAAGGCATGTTGTGGCAGTTTTGTGTTCCCCTTGGGATGCCCTTTGTAGCTGCAGTGTGCATGGAGCCCTGGGCTTTGTGCTTTTCAAAACCTTTACTCTAGGCTCAACCCTGACCCTAACCCCTATCCCTAACTTAGATCCTCACCCTAACCCACCTCCTAACCCTGACCCTCACCCTAACTCCTAACCCTGACCCAAGCCTAACTCTAAACCTAACTGCCTAACCCCCTAATTCTAACCCTAGCCCTAAACCCTAACTGTAAAATAATCCTAACCCTAGCCCCTAACCCTAACCCCAAACCTTAACTGCAAACCTAGCCCCAAAAAAACAACTAAAAAAATTTCCCTGAAATAGCCCTTAAAAACTTCATAGAATACTCTTAAAAGACAAAAATGTGCTAAGAAATCTTCTAGAATCCCCTATATATCGTTAGAAGTTGGGGAAAAATCTTGAGAAAATCCTGCTCAGCCTCCAAGCCCCACCTGTTGGTCTTGAACCCTCAGATGTCTTCCCTACCTTTTTGCAATGGGTCTTCTTTTCCTCTGAGGGTTCTGTCCTTGTCCTGCTGTGAGGGTTGCTGTCTTGTCCCAGCGGGAGGTTTCCATTCTGCTCTCACTCTTAGGGTTGCTGTGTTGTGCTGCTGTTGGGGAAAAAGGCTGTTTTTTGGGGGGCTACTAAGGGTGGGGCTAGGGCTGGGGTAAGAGGTGCTGCACCTGTGCCCAACCCTACCTGGTACCCTGTGTCCTTTGCACCCCAAACCCTCAGTGTCAGCTCTCCACCTGTCAAGGCCCCCACTCTTTGCCCCTCAGCCCACAATGTCTGTGTGTCACCCCAAGCCCCTGACATTGTCGCTTGGTCCCCTAACCTCCATTGTGCACTCTCCACCCAGGTAGAGCTGGTTTTTAGGGTGAGGTTAGGGGTGGTGTGAGGGCTGCTTCACCTCTCACCCTCAGGCACCCCCCACTTTGCCCCTCAAGGCACCCCCTGCCCCTCAGCCTCTTTGTGTCACCCTCAAGTTCCCCACTGCAGCCTCTCAGGGTCTCTGTGCCACCCTGGAGCCCCCCTTTGCTCATAAAGGCCCCTTCTGCCTCTCAGCTGCCCCCATGCTCTGTGTCACCCTGCAGCCCCCTCCCCTCAGCCCACAGCCTCTGGTGACACCCCGCAGCCCCCAGACATTGTCCCTGCCGGTTTTATTTGGGTGCTGTCCTGCTGCCAGGGCTGCACTGTCCCCGTGTTCAGGCTCCCACGTGCTGCTGCAGTGTCACAGGAGGGCGGTGGGGGAGTCAGGGATGGGGCAGGACTGGGCTGGAGAGGGGTGAAGGGTGGAGTGAGGGATGGGGAAGGTGTGGTCACAAAGTACCAGTAGGGGTGAGGATTGGAGAAGGGGATATGACAGAAGAGGGCTGAGGGAAGAAGCTAAGGGTTGGAGGGGGCAACCTGTATCTCCCAGACCCAAGCTGGGACAAATTAAAACTTTGGTTGCTTTTACAGTGCCAAGTGCCTCCTGCAAACTGACACCAGGAACCTGGGCTGGTGAGTTTTGTTTCCCAGGGAAAAGGGCCACAATCTAAAAACCATGACTATTAATTAAAAGGCAAAGAGAATAGAGAAGGGATTCTCTCACTGAGAGTGTTTTTTTTCTAAGATGACACATTTTTTTAACAGTGCAAAACAGAAGTTTGTGAATAAAGTTGTTTTATTGTGACTAGTTCTAGAATTAGAAGGGGGAAAAAAACATCCTCATTTGAAGTGGTTAGACTCATTGTTTTATGAATTCAGCTACACAACTAACTGACTATTTTAGTCATGAGCTGTGGCTGAAATGGGATAATTATGAATGCTGCCAGGCCCACTTATCCAGAGGAAACAGACTTCTGCACCTTTTTGTATATATTCTGTAATCCAGAAATGAACAGACGACTGTGTGCAAAGTCTGGTTCTCCTGGTCTCACACTGATGTCAGTTCCAAAACCAATATTTCCTTCATCCAAATTCCTTGAACACAGGCCTACTTTCCATATTTCTATTCAGAACAAAAAAAAATTTGAAGAAATATAAGAATACTGTACAGCAGGTGTTGTGCAGCTCAAGATCTTTGTTCCTACTGGGATAGGTGGGGTTTTGTACTTTAATTGTGCTGTTAAAAAGTTTACATGAGTCATTGTCTCACCTCTTTCCTGCCTCATAATACATCAACAGGCATGTGGGGGTTGGACCATGTGTGTAGTTAAAAGAAACTTGAAGAGTCCCTGCAGAGATTCAAGTGTAGTTGGAGACATTGCTAATCATGATTTTGAATGGGAGAAAAACAGCTAACACTAACAAAATCCAGAAAAGCCAAATCAAGAGCTAACCAAATGTACTCTAGCTACTCTGAGTGCTGGCACTCCCACAGCTATTTGATAGCCAAGGCAGAATAAATAATCAGCCAATATTTTTTACATTAATCTCCTGGGAGGGGGAAACAGGAAGGGAATGTAAGTTGTCTTCGTGGAATGTTGTCAGATGAGAATTAAAATTCCAGTCTTTACTGAAGCCTCTGCTGGAATGTGCAAAACACTGGGTACATTCCCCTGTGCACATACACACTTTGTGTTTTATTTTTCCATGGCATGCTGCTTTAAAGGCTTACAGCTGCATTCTTACTTGGTTTCTCAGTAATCTGTGTACATAAACACAGTGATACCCGAAGCTGCCCTCCTCACCCTGGTGCCTTGGCTGAAATAGAAGCTGTTCCACCCAAGAGTGTGACCATCTGGAAGTCCATGCTGGGACTAGGAAGAAGTTGATGTATAGAATCATCTTGAGCTTCAATCTGCTGCCTCCACCAGAAGCTTCTCAAACATGCTACCAACAAAGGCTTAGCAAATCTTCAGTGGCCAGCAGTGGGACAACATGAGGTCTGATTTCACTTTCAGAGTTAGAATTTGGCTTATGCACTAAACCACCACTGTTAAAACTAACCATCTATCACACTTGATTGCAGTTGCTCCCCAAAGCACTCACCTTTCACAAACAATAGCATATTCTCTGCAGGGAGAGAAGAGGAGGAGGAGGAGGAGAGATCCAATTTTTCTTGCCAAGGCAATTTCCCAAAAAATGTCTGAACATCAGAGAGAAGGCAGGCCTGTAGAGGGGACAAACACATCCCTTCAGAAGAGAAGTATTCATAACAGAATTATATAAATGTTTTTCCTAATACCAAATAAACAATATAGCCCAGTCATTGTAGCCAACTATTGAATAAATCATAAAACCACAGTGTGTGATAATGAAGTCAGATGCCAATTACTTAAGTCTTTTTACAATCCTTTCCCACTCAAGTCAGAGGCAAATTTCTAAGACAATTACAAATGGACATTTGGAGTCAGATTTGTTCCAGTATTTTTTCTCAATAGATGCCTCATGATGCAGACAATTCTTTAAAAACATATCACTGTATATCTTAATACCATTTGCTTTGCTGTAAATGTTTGAGATGTGCAACACTGAAAATCACACTAAATATCTGAACTTCTAGGAGCTTAAATAGCTTTGAAGAAATGCATTCCTGCATAAAATTCACGCTGTGCTGGGGCCAGAAGAGGATTTTGCCATCTTTGTTGAGAGCTAAGGAATATGGAGGCCTTGTGATGTACTGAGCAATGAATCTCATCCTGATTACTGTCTTTGAAGTTACACGTGCCACGCTCTCAATTAGAGCTAAAACTTAGATCACAGAGTATAACTTCTGTATGTGAGAGGAATAGAACAGCTCACAGTACAAGCTGTACATAACAAACAGCAGGTCCTCCTCGTGACACTGTCAAATATGTTCCAGGAAGCCCCACAGTGCCAGAAGAGATTCCCCTTCCATGGGAACTTTTCAGAGACCTCAAGCAAGGTCCAGTTAGCAAGGGCTGGTGACACAGAGTCCTGCCCATGTACCTTATCACTGGTTGGAATGAGTCCTTAGTCACTACCTGCAGTTTCTATTGGACTCACTGATAGCAATTAGGCCAACAGTTTAGTTTAAATTTTAACTCATAAGTAATAGACACTGTTTTTCTAAGAGTAGTTCAAGTACAGTTCAAATTCCATACAAAAATCTCTATTTTCCAATGGCAGAAGAGCTTCTTGGGTTGGACAGCACTGAGAACGTTCAAGACAGCACTGTGCTCCACATGACTGTCACCAGATAACATTGATCAACAAACTCCATGAGCACAGACACTGGCAAAGTCAGTTTTCTGTGGCACGCACTCACTGCTGCATAGCTCATGGTACAGTCTCCTTGTCACAGAATTATTTGGTCTCTTCCAGCCTACAATGCTATTCAGCCTAGTTTCAGACACTCTTTTGCTGTCAAAGCCAGACAAAATTAGCCAGGGAAATCCACATTACTGAGACAAACAGCAAGGTTGCACTGGGTCTTTCCCCGATTTAGGAATCTACGCTAAAAATAATCCATCCTCCGCACAACTATGGTTAAATTACTGTTAGGAAAGATCCGGAAGAGAAAATTCTTAGCATTCTGAGCATGTTTACTCTCACTTTCTGAATACAGAAATCAAATCAGAGTGAATTCTTTTCTGGAGGCCAAACTCTAGTCAGCCTAGGAAAATACAGGATTCTTCAGACCTAATACTGCTTTAGATAGCAGAACAGTGCCTGAGTCACAGGCCTACCCATGTATTTGAAAGTTAATATTAAACAGTTCTAACCTCATTGACCAGGACAGTCTGTTTCTTCAGCTCATCAGGGAGAAAATCAGCTTGCTTCATTGGAAGACACAATGGAATGATGAGCCTGCTGTCTTCACAAAATTCAACCAGGTTCCCTTTGGTTGTGGCTGTGTTCCCATCCAGACCTTTAAAAAACCAGCCAGAAAGAGGATAAGCTTTAAATGTTAAAAAGAGTCATCCAAGACATGCCACTAACAAAGCAGTACTCCTACTAAGTCACTTTAGACCCAAGTAAGCTCATGTTATACCTTATTTAACAAGCAAAACATGATGGAAACAATGGTATATACCATTCATTACTGCAATATATTTTTTTAAGATTGTGTGTTATCTATAGAATTTTGAACATGCAACTGGCCAGAGTGAACTAAACATTACTGTATCATCAAGAGAAGGAAAATGAGCATATTTCACAGATAATTTAAAGTGCATGTGGGCAGGTATTTTCTAGTCCTCATATTCACTTCCATCAGATGTTTTGGGTTTTTTTCCTAAGGGTCTCAACAAAATCACTTACATTTTCTTGAACAAATATATTTTAAAAGCCATTTGTTCATTAAACTGTCCAAGTCTTATTGCAGTCTCAGAAATACTAAAACAATAGCAATTCTACAGTTTGAAGTCAACCTTTCCTAACTGGTATAACCAGCTTAAAAAAAAATTCTTTCCCATTTCTCTCTTGCCTATATAAAAAGGTTAAATACTGAGAGATACTGTTAAATGTATCCCTGCCTTCTGTGGTTTGAAATATGTTTGAAAAGGAGTCTGACAGATTTTTACTTATCTCCTGAATGGGGATTAAAAGGACATATGGCCCATTTTGCCATCAAACATAAACTTCTGACCTCTTACTCCTTTTTCCTAATTATAATCTACTCTTTTTTTTCTATTAGATATTTTCAG